AAGTCGGCTCTGAAATCGGATTCCCCGTGTACCCGTGGCGCGGCCCTGCCACGCGATTATTGATCGGAATATGTGTTTGAAGTTCCGAGTTGAGAAACCGCGACGCAATGCCAACGATAACGCAGCCGGAGGCTGATGGAAAAGATTACTTCGCGACGCCTCGGGGAAGAACGCCTCACCTCCGACGACAAAGCATGTCCCTCACCGCCGTGATCAACCAGAGGAGGGGCCTCCTCGGGTAATGTCGCCAGCGATTTTCTAATTTTCCTCGAGCCGGGGCCGGAACTCGCGAATCATTGGCAACGTTATTAACGACGCGTCGACGCTGGGCTGTTCGATCGGCGACTCGCCGCGCGTGGCCCGCCGTAAAACGCGGTACGCGCCTCGACGCGTCGAACGTATAATTTCACGATCATTGAATCCGGCTAGCGAACGAAATATTTTCGATCGCACGGCTCGCCGGTTCTATTCAATTTATACACCGTTCAGTGTACCGACGCGAGAGCGGCCCCGGATGCGGCTAAATACCATCGATTCCCTGTAAACGATAAAATCGCTTGTGTACTGGCGAAATTGATCAACCTCTGGTCGATTGCGATTCAAGTGGCTGCGTTTAGAATTCGGAGATCCAGCTGGACGTGTGTCTAGAAGGTTTTGTTAGTCTGAGGATACGTTGATATGTTTAAAGATTATTTTGTTTAAATTAAAATTAGTCATTCCTGAAAGCAAATTGAATTGTAAATCGAATATCTTCAATAGACGCAATCTTAGAGTTTCTATGGAGAAATATATGAAAGTCAATTCGACTGCTCGGTAATTCTAGTGACAATTGATCGACGATACAAGGTATAAATCGACGATTTCGCAGTTAATATTCATAAGTACCTTTCGGATCTAAGAGAAATTTGGAGGTTGATAATATCGAAGAGTCCTCGAAAACGCGGTGACTCGATCGAAAGGCAAACAGGTGGATGAAATATGCGATGCTCGTTTCTGCCGGCAGAGCGCTGATTTCAGGGATAGGTAGCAACATGTCCCTGCCGTCCTGCATGCCGCAGGATCAAGAATTCTTGACGGGCCAGCCGCCTGCGTCGAAAACACAAACGCTGATGCTGAACAACCAGAACCAGCTGGAGAAGAACGACATCGATCCGCAGAAGCAACGACCGAATTTCTTGCCTTTGTCTCCCGTTAACTCTGCCTGTGTACCCATGAATGTTCTGGAAGCTACGAAAGGTAAAGTGTCCTGTGCTCCCTGTTATCGGGCTGCCGGAAGTCTGCAGAGTAAAGGTCTATGCACACGTGCGACGCAGCACAGTGCGGCCAAACGGCCGTTTTCTGGACGAAACTCAATAACTTGAAAAGTATGAGTGATACAAAAAAAGACAAAAGTTGTAAGATATAGAGCTAAACATATGGTGATTGTATTTTGTTTACATTACGGGGATATTATGAAGTTCTTTAAATGATAATGGATATTTTCGATTCCAACGTTATATAAAGATAAATATAAGATTTTTGGAGTATTGTCCGTACTGTGCGCTGAAGACGCGCGATTTTCGAAGAACAAAGACGTGAAGTTCTCTTATTCTTTCTTCGTAAGACAGAACCTTGTTTCCCAGTTACAAAATAATCGCAGCGAGACCTCGTCGCTCTATGCATATGTTGCAAGTTAAATTTCATTTGACCCTCGTCCACAGTTAAACAGCAGATCATGGAGCAGCGATCGAAGCCGATGGAAAAGCGAAAATGCCACTCGGAAATGGTATCGATCATGAGCACTCTTTACGCGAATTTGTTGATCGTCGTTGGGATCGCGGTGCCAGTCACAGCGAGCGTGACGGAAAGAGTGCCGCCTGTCATGAACCAGGTGACGAGAAGCTCTAACTTTTGGGTGCAGTTGGAATCGATTGCTCATTCGAAGCTCTCCGATTGCACGTATGCTGTATATCTCGTATATCTTCGCGTCAATCCTTTTTGCAGGGATTTTACTTGTACCTGTATTTGGTCAGCGTCGCTTTCGTGATCGCGATGTACATCATAGTGTTGAGGGACAAAGCCGTAAGGAACTTGACGCAGAAGAAGGAGAAGAAGCAGCAGACCTTCGCGTTCAACGAGAAAGGGGAACGCGAGTTTAGTCAAGTAAGAGGCAACCGATAAATTCGATGTTCCTAATTAATTCGTAAATAATTCACGGATAATCGTACAAAGCAGATGTCCAAGAGCATAATTATAGAAAGTAAGAAAATGCAACGAAAGACTCGAATATCGGACGCTGTTAGATTCGCCGGTGTTCCTTAGTGAAAAATATCTTTCATCTGTCGTACAAATTCGCGGCTGGCTTCGAGTCCCCGTAATTAGCGGAAAGTATTCGGAAACGCGACACGCAGAATGAAATCTTTGTTCCTCAGACGCAACAGTACGGCAGCTTTTGTCTGAGGCTCGGCGCGGTGGGATTTGGCGCCGGCTCGCTGGTATTTACGGGATTGCAAATTGGGGCGGAAATAGCTTCCGGCCCGTTCAGGGCGATTACACCGGGTGCCAGGCTGCTGTTGGTCACGGCCCAGATGCACTTCATATTTCTAAACAGCAAGAGTCTTAAGCTCTCCGAGTACACCGCCCTCGCGAAATTAGGCCTGATGCACATGATCGCCACTAATCTCTGCGAATGGCTGCAGGTAAAGTTTCAACAGTAGAAACAAACCTCTTATAATTCCTACTGGTTTTCAACCGTTCATTTCAATCGAACGCGATAGCCTTAATTTTAACACAAACTACCGGACGGGTCAAAATGACACATTCCTAATGTAAACTTTTTGGAATTATTAAAAAGATAACAGATGTTTATCTGAGAAATTACAGAAATTGACCACGCCAACTGAATTGTAGATTAATTAAAGTATCCATGGATGCACTCTTGTAGCTTCTGTAGAGAAATTTCAAAAAGTCGATTTAACTGCTCGGTAGTTTTACTGTTAAACGCGTCCTTTAGCGATCGTCACTGTTGACTCTTGTTGACTCGCGTTCAATCCTCTTTGTAAAATTAATGCTTCCGATGGAAAACGAAAGGCGAAATGCGCGATTGCGAAGGCTACAGTCTTGGCATTATGCAGGGAATGGAAACTGCATGTCTCGTTCGAGGTAATTATAAAATTCGATAGAGGGCAACGTGCACGCATCAGAGGCACGGGTATTCGCATAAATATTATATTATACGAAGAGTGTATTACCCAGAGCACACAGTATTCAGTATAAAGTAGCTCGAGCCGGGGAATGGAAAGCACACTTGTTTCTGGTAACGAGATATCCACTCGTTCAATTTAATTTCCTATTGATAGGATAGGGTTTAAATAATTTATACGATTGTCCCTCTAAACCGTAATACCTGAGCGTCGTTTAAATAGGACGACGTCGTTCGGTTCATAGTTCGGTGGTTTTCAAGGCTTCTTATATTAACTCGGAAATACGCGCGCGCGCGCGCGCCATATTGTCTGCTCATCTTTCGCAGCTAGTTTAGTCTCTTATTAAAGTTACGAACAACGTTAGACACTATATACTATCCACTGTGTATATCAAACGCGTTTGCAAAGTTTTTAACAGTCTACGTTCTACCGGGTACGAGACCTTAACGCGAAATGATAACAGTGAATATGAAGCTCGAATCTTAAAATTCAATTGACATTACCGCGCGAACACTAAAGATTCAGTTCTGCAACAAATCATCGTCATTCGCGTAACTGCATTCATCTCCGACTATAGCAACGAGCAGTTTGTCGCGTCAATTAAGGTTTAATCGAATCAAACGAATCCGATGTTGTGCGATTGCGGAAAAAATTAAGACATAAATCACAAGGAGAAGATATTCGCGAGATCGTAAGGAAACCGGGCCGAAAACGGAACGGGGAAGCGGAAAATATCAATTCGCGGGACGGGGGCGAGTATTGATTCATTGTGTTTAGCATTCGCCGGTGTCGAGTGGGATGTTTGTTCCCACATTTGTGTAAATGTGTCCCGCAATGGCAGTGTGCGAGAACGCGTGCACTGTTCCCCGTCGGCGTCGAAGTAGTCGCGTTTACGAACGACGAAATTATTCCGGCAGCGCGAGATGATATCGAACTTTTGATCCGGCGCACGGAAGCGCGGCAAATATTAACAATAATTCCGCGCCCCGATAGCTCGCGTCGGCTACGCGCTCTCCCGGGTGCTCGCGTTACCGCATGAATTTTTCAGGCGTTCCACTCAGCCGTTCCGTTTGTTTCGCTCAATTTAATTCTTTTTTTATTGTTGCTCCGTCCCGCGTTAAAGGCGCTCGTGGAGGAGACGCGGCACGAGATCGAACAGCTCGGCCATACGCACGACGGCGAGGACGGTATCCTGAAGTCTTTGCTGCGAGACGCCAGCCCGTTCCTTTTCCCGTGCACAATTGAATTCAGTTTAATTTGCGCGGTGATACTATTCGAGATGTGGAAGAGGGCGGACGAGAAGATCGACGCGAAAGGCGAGAGCTCGACGAGGTCTTCCTATCACCTTAGCATAGACTGCAGCAGCTCTCACAGGTCGGCCGGAGAATTTAATTAAATCGATAAGATTGCCACGGTTAATTTGTTAATGCGATATCGTTAAGATTTTAAGTCACTCGGTGTTCCGAGGGCGTCGCGCCTTTATCAGACGGATCGCCGGTTTTTTTTCTTTTCCAGGGGCCTGTTCGGCGGGATACTGATCGTCGCCGCCACGATATTGAGCCTCATCATGTTCTTCGTCCTGAAGGAGGCCAAAATGAAAATAGCGATCGTGCAGGTCACTGCGCTGGACGCGACAATATTAGCGTTAGGTAGAGGAGAAACGATCGGAACCGCCGTTGTGTGTGCGCGGTCTGAACAAAGCGTTCGTTAACGGGGAAACTTTGCAGGTATGCTGGCCTCGATCGCCGGAACTTTGAAGCTGCAGGCGCTTCAGCAAAAAATAATCAAACCGTCGGACCTGGACACCACGTTATTGGCAGCGGCGCAGGCCGGCGTCTATCTCCACTGCCTTTTCGGCGTTGTCGGTGATATATTAACGATGGGCCCGACTTGGGTGCTGTCGTTGATCACGGATCTACTGGCGTTGATGCAGAGCACGAGCCAAACTTTGCTCATTAAAGTAAGCACTTGATCGATCCCGCCCGGGGGCTAATCATTTTCCTCGAGTGGTTTCAATTTCCCATAATTTTCCAGATCGCGTGGGGAAGACGTTGCTCGAGGAACGACAAACCCGGCAAGGAGTTGATCACCTTCCTGATCGTCGTCAACATCGCCCTATGGACGGTGAACACGTTGGAGAAGTCGCGGGCGGGTGTCCGTCCCGATCATCTGCAGTTCTTCGGTGTCTGGGCGTGGACGATCATCACCCACGTATCCATGCCGCTCGCTATATTCTATCGATTCCACTCGGCCATCTGTCTGTTCGAGATATGGAAAACGTGTTACAAGTGTCGATCGACCAGCATCGTGCAAACTCCGTTCTAACCGCGACACTCGGTGGTACCTCGTGTAATTCGCGGCGTTTAGAAGTTCAGCGAACAACTGATGTATCCTCTAACGAGGCTGTGTTGCGTTGCATACGTTCGCGGGGGTTGAGTAAAACTCAGCCGGGCGCGGCGAAATTGCATTACTCTTCGGCCATACCTTTAATTACCGGGCTATTAAAAGGGCGGCGACGGGGCAGGAAAGAAGGAAGAAGAAGGAGAACGCAGCGGCGACCGAGCTTTCGCAAATAACAACGTTACTGGGCATCGGACGGGTGGGGGCGGCGGGGGCAAACTTAGCGCGGTGTCTGGCAGCCGGCCACCGCACGGGAACTTCTAAGCTGGCGGGCGCGAGACAAAGGGTAAAAGGGACGCTTCAAAGCTCCGTGGACGAACGGACGCGACGGCATGGTTGCCGAATCGATAGAGTGGGGGCGGTGCGTACTTTTATCGATGTTATACGGGGAAAAGACACGGTAACGGCGATGGTGGACGTCGACAGTTTGATACGGTTTACGGTAAACACATTTCGGTAGCAATCACATCACGGGGCAAGCAAGCCTCGCTGCAGCGAGAAGTAGGTGATGCTTCGGTGGTTGGAGGAAGCGAGCGAGCGGTCGGTGAAGAGGCTCTTAGCCAACCCTTTGTTGCTCCTGCCACCACTATTGCTTCTACCGACCCCTCCCGCCGATCCTCTGAACGTAGTGGAGGCTACACTCTTGACCAAAGGCCTCTGATTTACTTAGCCTATCGAGTGCTCTTGGACTCGTCCACCAAGAATACCGTATATACGGCCCCGGTCGTGTACGTCGTGTACCGAAATTTCGAACTTAATGCTCCACTTACTGTCCTCCGACCTTTCACCAGTCGTGATTCCGGGCTTCGATTGCGAAACACCGTGTAAATCAATTTTCACGGGTAACCGTGGCTAGATGAAACAACCAACCGGGTTCATGCTATTTATTCTTTATAATTTTCTAGAATTATTTATGAAATGACTAACGAGGAGATTCCCCGAATTTCGCGTAACTTTGTTTCAGTATAATCATCACGTTCGAATACTTTTACTATGTACACTTTCTTTTCTCGGCTAATAACCAGAAAGTTTGTATTTATATGTACAGTTTTATTTATCTCGTTTCGTTTGTATCTATGTATCGAGTAATCGAGAATTCAGTGGTCTTATTTTGTCAAGTTGAAGGTACATATGTATATGTTTGTTAGATTTTGGATAATTTTTTTAGGATTAAAATTCCACAGGTGTACAAACTTGTCTAAGATACTGTACATAAATAAACGATATTTTGAGATACACGAAGCAATTGTTCAGGCATCGATAAGATATTTCGTAGAAAGCGTATGAATCTTTGAAGAAAGGGGGAAGAAAGGAAGGTGTTAGCATTACGTCACCAGTACCTAACACTCGCCATAGCCTCTGTTTTTTTTGCGGATTTAACGAGGATTTACCGTTTCTACGATTCCCTTCCCCGCCAAGCTGCAACTACAGCTGCCAATAGAATCTGTGACACACGCGCGAAAATCTCTCGACGCGAGCAAGAAAAATGTTGAATTTCGTGCTCTAGTTAAATATTACAGATCACGAAGCATAAGTTTAGAGTCGTATTCAAGAGATCATCCCAGTTTTCGATCCGTGAAATTCGCCGACGAAATTCATAGATCCAGCTGACAGCGTAACATTTCGATCCACATGTCCGTGCCTCATTTGCTCCATTATTAGTGGCCGTAATCGAATCATCAATTACTATCGATAGAAATTATCAGTGCTTCAACGTGATCAGTATATCGATTGTGCACGACGTTCGTGCATTATAAACCGCTCGCGATTCAACGTTTTACCCGTTGCAATCGCCGCGAAGAGAATTCTTTCGGGATTGACGCGCCACTTGAACTGTCCATGGGAAAATCTCGCAATTTATCGAGTTTACCTGTCCGCCGCTCTAACCCCCGCTGAGCCTCGAGTGATGGAGAAGGGAACAGGTGGGAGTGCGAGAGAACGCGGCGCGACGGGACGAGGAAGCCTTGATATATCCGCCAAACACAAGGAGCTGGCACAGCCTGCCGGATTTATCAGAGTTGCGGATAATGGATGGTCCATCTCGGCGGCGAAACTTTTTTAAATAATACAACGCGCAACTAGCGGGGAGCCCACAATTCCGCGACGATCTAAAACATGCTTACAGCGGCGAACGTGAAAGCCTTCCCACCCGGCTCCTCGCGGCAGCGAAATAATCGGCCGGGTAGGAACGCCGGGATAATCGGCAGGCTTCTTCTCCTAGCTCATAGAACCACGACGAAAACGTATCGACACGTGAAATCGTGGAGCGTTCGACACAAAATTATCTCGTGAGTGCAGAGCGTGAAGGAGTCAGGGAAAGGGTCGGAGGCGGCGTTCTCCTTCTCGACCTAATTACACGGGGGCTTTAATGAATTTTCGATATGCTCGACGCGCTACGGCGCGCCCGGCCCTGCTAAAATTAAAAAAAGAGAGAACAAGCGAGACCGAAGAAAAACGAACGAGCGGGGAAAAAGAGGATGAAAAGGGAAAACGATTATCGCGAAGCAAATTATTCGGCGCTGTCGGTGCAACCCCGGGGCGGCGGGCAGAAAGAAATGACAGTGGTATTGACAGAACAACTACCAGACAAAAACCACCACCGGAGGTCGTCGATTGGACGATCCTCGGGAATGTATTTAATTCGATTGGACTCTGCCATCTGGACGAGACAAGGAGGGCGAGAGGCTGAGGAGAGGGTGACTATTCGCAGCAAGGGCGAGGGAACCTCTGTTTCCGGCGGAAATGAGGCCTTCGCGAATCGTACCGCCGCCCTCTACCCCTTTCACCTCCTCCCGAACGCTCTTTCGAGCTCCCTTCAGCCCGCCTGCGACTGTTCCCCTAAACCGAGACCCCTCTATCGTCCCCTATCATGCGGCGCGAGGGCGCAAATCGTATTTATATTCCATCTCTCACGGCCAGGTAAATATTTTGAGCAGTCGGCGCATCGTTACATACATGGGCCGCGTGTAACTTGTTCTCCGGGAATCATTCAATATCCATACGAATATGAGGGATTATACCTCGACCATCCCCTGTTTCGCCGCTGCACGGTTAAACCAGACCACCTCTTTTAAATATTTAAATTATAAATATTTACCAGCATCATGAAATTCGAGTCCGGCGGCCGGCGAACGGACGCGATTGGAAAACCGCCGGAGGGAAAGAGACCGTCGAAGCGCAACGTATGATCGCTGCCGTTTGTTTATCGCGATTTATTGGA